TAAGTATAAGTGAGGGGGAGTATTTTTAGGAAGGTTATTACTAATGTGTCTTACTGTAATACTGATTATAATGATAGTGGTTTTGTACTTTATATATTCACATGAGCACTGTGAAAAATACATTCAAAATAAACTATCATTAAGGCTTTACGCCATCATTATCTGCTTAGACTTCCTCCCAGATAGTCACATTTTACCTTCCATGTTTGTGCCTTGGCTCTCTACACCCCCAGCTAGGCATATTTATTTATCTAAGGCTTGTCTTCATTTTACTTACCTGTTTCATCTGTTCATGTTTAACATACATTTTCATATTTGATTAGATATGGATATATTCAGAAGAATTATTCTCCTAAATTATCTAGCATCTCTCATCTAAGGAAGTATTTATTTTTTGTTCATATATACATATATTTCATAAGACTGGAAATGATGGGATTAAATGACTACATGTACCTCATCCCAAAACTAACTGTATGGGATCACTTCTGTAAGCATCTAACCCACTTAAAGAAGGATAAGGCAACTTTTTGCACTTATGAATAACTTTTCAATTATACAGAAAATATACATAGTTCTAAGTGCTCTTTTCCTTCAGTACACTGTCATATAAAGGTTTTGTGTCCCTTCTGTCCCTGGTACCTGACTTTCAGAATATTTCCTAAGTTCATGCAGTCTAGTTTTCACCGTTGTGTGCTTACTAGACTAGCACTTGAATTTCATTTGCTTACTTGTGTCCTTTTTATCATGGATAAAGGAAATTTGGATAAATATCTCATCTCCAAATCTTAATGGCCATCTTAATGGCCTCGCTAACAGGAAACATTTATTCACAAAAATCCCTTAGGAATGATGATCATTGTACTACAAAGACTTTTACAAACAAGCCTGTCAAACTCCCGGATGATACAAAAGTCAAAAATTAATTGAGTGCCTCCATTTATCCAGAGATCAAAATGACTGAGGTGTTGTAGCTTATTCACAAATAAGGAATCATAAAGCCTGTTATCTTAACTTTAAATAAAATAATTCATACATAATGTTTAATGAATTATTGACACACTAATAGAAGAATATGTTAACAAAGACTGTAAGAGACTAGAATTCAATGTGTCAGGGGCTGGGGAGATAGCTTAGTAGAATAAGCACTTGTCTGGCAAGTACAAGGTCCTGAATTCCATCCCAGGTACCCCCCCACAAAAAAAGAATGTTCAAGAATTCAATGTATTATAAAAGAGCTGATTGAGCATGTCATATGATTGAACATCAGGAATACAAATCATGATTTCAATTGTTAAAATCACACACATCAAAGTGGTTATCTTAGACCACTAAGATATTTATTAATAGGTAGTTGCAGGGTAATAGAAAAAAGGTCTGATAGTCTTGATTTTGGGACTAATTTATAACCTAAATGTCAATTTATACTCCTATTTTACACCTTGTTTTATATAGGGAAGCAAAGTGAACTAATTAGGACTTCTGTAATTGTAGAAGAACTCTTTGGTAGAGCGCAGATAATGAGCTTATACCTGTCTTCATTTGTATTTCAACAAAAAGTGAAATATTCTGACACCAAACATTATGCAGAGGCCAGGGGGAGATAGCTCAGTAGAATAAGCACTTGCCTGGCAAGCACAAGGACCTAAGTTCAATCCCTGGTTCTGACAAAAAAAGAAAAGAAAATGAAAAAAATATGCAGCCCTCGATGATATATTTTATTGAGATCTTTCTAACTTTAAGTGTACTAATTGTGTGTCTAAGTGGGAAAGTGGCATGAAAATATATTGCAATCTTGCACAGAGCACAAGCATTTTCACTAATTTTAATTTATAGACAACATTGCGGACTACTGTGTACAAGTGTATCTATGTATTATACATACAAATTTAACAAAAATTTATGTAAATTAAACTTAGAATTAAGGCTATGAAAGAACAACTCAAGTATACGAGTAATAAGAAAAACAGTCGACTTCTACTTTTTTCTTGTGATCCTGTTTTCGGTATTAAATACATTTTTGATCTTTTTAGAAATATCAAACATAAGATAATATGAGAAGGCCAAAAAGGAAAATATAACCAAATGAATATATTCTATATAACCAAATCTTAGGTGTTGCAACTGTGGTGTAAGTGAGATAGAATTGCTTCAGTTGGCTGTCAGGAAATTCAGAGATTATGTATCAGTTTAGTCACATGTGGACAGAGCTGTAATAGAAATTGAATCTCTTAAAATAATGTTTAAGATGTTCAAGTTTTCATACATTTTATTACTCTAATAGACATTTTTCAGATTCTGGAGCACTTTAGATTTGAGAAAATTAAATATTAATAAGTATGAATAGTCATTGAAAGATGATTTCTAGAAAACAAATCCTCAGCTAAACTTTAAAAGATGGATGACACAGGGCCGGGGAGATAGCTCAATAAAATAAGTATTTGCTTCGCAAGTACATGGTCCTGAGTTCAATCCCTGGTACTGCCAAAACAAATAAAAATAAAATAAATGGTCACATTAAGGAAGATCTTTAATGCTTGACAACAGAGATGGCTTCTCTTTTCATTTAATTTTTTTAATCTTTCATTTATTTATTTATTTACTTGATAAAGGGTCTCACTATGCAGCTTGGACTTGTAGTGATCCTCCTGTCTCAGCTTGCACAGCACTGGGATTACAGATGTGTGCTTCCATGCCCGGTTTCAGTGGCTAGCTCGGTGCTCCAAGCGTTCTGTGGCTGGCATAGTCTGTGGGACCAGGGATTTAAGCCTGTGTCCTTGAACTTGGCAGACAGGATCTTAGTCAGCATAGCTATCTCCCCAGCCCCTTTCCTTAATAATATGAGAAACTACAAAATTTCTGAGCAGTAGAGTCACACATTTAAAATAGTATTGGGAAAAATATTTTTAACAAGCACTCAAAGATTGAAGAAGGAGTGAAAAGAATCAAATCAACAAGACATTTCAAATTAAGTTAAACATTCTAAGTATACACAAGAAATACGAGATGTAGACAAGAATGCAAAACAATTAAATATGTTATAAGACAAGGTGTACAAATTAGATCTGTTGCCTAATTCACCTACATTTCATACTCAAGTGAAATTGACATTGAAACAAGCAAAGCAAAACCTAATACAAAGGTTACAGTTCAGAAGCCAAAAGAGAACTATATTTATATATTTGAAACCAACCACACAACAACTAGTTATCTTTCACTGTAAAAGAAAACTTAAAATTGTCAAAAAGACATTAAGTTTCCACCGACTGTCTTGGTCAAGGTATTAAGGTCAGATCTATTGCATTATTCCTTTGTAATAACAATCTAGGAAATCCCAGACTAGTGAAACATTTCTACAAATTTATATGAATAGAAGAATCCTGAGTTAAATAAAATACATACTAACTAATCTCAAAGACAATATAGAGATTAAAGGCTTACCACCATGTTTAAAAACCAATTTTTATACTGATTTCCTCAAATAAATTAGGTGTACAATTATAACATTAAAAATGTCCTTAACTACGAGGTATAAAAAGTAAAGGTATATTAATATGCTGAGCTCTGAAAGGCTCAAATCAACAACTCCTGACAATTGGCACTTGTACTGATAACTCACTACTATTATGGATTATTGGACTATATTGGGTTATTTTCCTAAATTCAAGTATCTACAATCTTTGGACTGGCATCAAGTATGAAAAGGTCCCTTAAAGTCTTCTCCAAATACAGCATCTTGAACTACAATGGAACACCCATCTTAGACAAAAGAAATCAAAAAAGGGGATATATCGGAAGCCACGAAAGCTAGGAAATCAACCAAATGTGTGTAGGTGGGATTAGGCCTCAGTGCCTAAAGCAAACAAGCTGCATCAGTCCTGAGATAAACATCCTATCTAGTTAAGGTCAGCTATTAGTCGCTAAGCAACATGATTTCATGTGTTACTAACTTTGCAAAAGTATAAATAAAGGACCATTTTGCGGTGAAAAAAGAAAGAACATAGATAGATAGATAGATAGATAGATAGATAGATAGATAGATAGATAGATGATAGATAGATAGGATAGGATAGGATAGAAAGCTCTTAGTTCATTGAGAAGAAAGTTTTGTATTAATATTGTTTAGAGAAGACATCATATCTGCATCTTGTCCTCTGAATAACTACTACAAAGAGAATAATATGCAATGTATTAATTATTGTAACTGTCCTCCTAACCTGTTTTGAAACTGTCTCATTGATAGTTTATCTTTTTCTCAATAAAATGAATAAAAAAGTTTTTTTAAATGCCTTGAGTCAGAAGTTATGTGCTGAAATGTGGATTGTAATATTAATAAATTTATTTTCTGTATACCTTAATATAAACAATAAGTAATTGTTTTAGTAGTCTACAAATGTTTTCTAACTTAATAAACTAACAAAAGAAAATCGAACATTTCCTGTTTTAGAAAAGAAGATTTAGGATTTTTGGCTTAATGGGAAAATAAAGCACCTTATAATAAAGGAAGTGAGACTGCTTTCATGATTTTTTTTCCCAATACAACCAGCATTTCTTTAAAAGAGTCAGTTGTGATTTCTAGCTGCACAACTTATATATTCCAGAAACTTATTTTAAAAGTGAAGAAAACTTTAAATCAATCCACTTCAGATATTTTCCCATTAATTAACTAGCGTGATTACCTAAGAGATATAAAGACACTGGTTTAAAATGAGAATAAGTGTTCCCTACTTTGCTGCGGTAATAACTTTCTTACATAAACGAAAGAATTAACGCTTGCTTGCGGAGCTCATGTCCCAGAGCAAAGTTAATTCCTCGACTCTCCGCCGCAGTCACCTGGAAGGCGCTTCCAGCGCGCCTCCTCGCGTTGGCCTCATCACCGCTCATCACCGCTGCAGCGCGAAGCCCGCTGTAGCTGTCTTGGGAGTCAACGTGACGGTTCGCGGTAGACAGTCCCGTGTCTCCCTCCCCCCGCGAACGCAGCCCGGCGGGCGGAAACTGACCTCGTTCACCGTGGCGTGGTAGCTCTCGTGTCTGAAGGTGGGAGAGTTGTCGTTCCGGTCCCGCACCACGATCCGCACTTCGTGGTAGATGACGGTGCCCACCTTCTTGTTGACGCACTGCACTTGCACCACGATGGAGTGGATGTTCACCGGGGGCTGTAACACAGAAGGCAGGCTTTCACAAGGCGCAAGACCGAGGGAAACCGATCTCCCATCACTGTCAGCCTTGTTCATTAATAAACATTTCTACTTGTTCATTTTACATTATAACACCATAGAAAAGAATAACCATGTGTGTATTACTTTATAAAAAGAGGAAAATCATAGTCATTTCGTGTTTAGTTTTGAATTAGAATAATGCTACTCTCAGAGGATTACTGATAAAGACACAACTGAATTGATCTGACACGATAAAACATAATTTGTTTCTACATATGTTAAAGAATGTATGGGGCTGGAGAGATGGCTCAGTGGTCTAAAGCACCTACTTGGAACAAGCTTGGCAAAGTACAGGGACCGCGGTTTGATCCCCCAGCACCACATGCCAGCCAGCCCCGCCCCCTGGTGGGCTCACCTGGCCACACACACACACACACACACACACACACTAAATAAATGTAAAATAAAGAATGTATGATGCAAACTTCTAATGTTTAATAAAAAGAAAGTATAATACAAACTTCTAAACATTTTAATGCTGTTAGCAAAAAATATTGATTAGTAAATTCTAGAGAGTCTATATAATTTTATTTGCATGTCTGATAATATATGATCATTACTGATATAAATTGATATGTAGATAATCAAAAGCAAATTCATTCATAATCTCACCAAAATATCGTACTCTGTACAATTATTTTGCTGCTGTTTTCCTTCCAAATACACTCCATGAAGCAACACACACTCATGCACATACACGGACACATAAATATCATTCTTGAAAATAGGAATTCAGAGTAGTACTTCAGTGAATATGTGTGAACCTATGTTTTATGATTTAACCATACTAGATAGGGTTATAGTTTAATTTGCATAAGTAATACATTATAATAAGATGTTTCAGGCTATCAATTTTTGTCATTGAATACATTAAATATGGATGTGTTCTTCTTTGCTTAATTGATTTTGTGATGAATTTTTGAAGGAAAAAATGCATCATTAAAGTAGCATTTACTTACACGGAGGCCTGGATGGGCTTGGATGGCTGGGGTGCACACCCACACTGCAGTTGGAATAAAATACCACTAAACACTTTTCAGTGATCTTTAAAACTCAGTCTTTTCGATGTACCTGCTGGCCTCGCCCCTGGGACATGCTGCTACTGAGACTGGGTGTGGTAGCGCGTGCTTGTAATCCCAGCGTCTGGGAGGCTGGGAAATGAGGATCACTGTGAGTCCAATCTGTGTAGTGAGACCCTGTACTAAATACATGTTTTTAAAAACCCAGTCTTTTAAAACAGTTTCTCTAAATATGTCATTTTATCATAATAGCCCATCTGGATTGTATCATCTTAAATATTATGTTTCTATATGCCTACATGAGTCAAAGTATCACATTTTATTCCATATATATTATATATATTTTATCTCAAAGTATTTTTAAAAGACCTTACTACCCCCAAAAATGAAAAAAATATCAATACAATGTAACCTAATAATTTTGAATTTGCCTTAAACTAATTCATAACTTGGATGGAACAATTTAAAGTGTTGCCAGTCATGTTTGTAATTAGGATTACTGTAGAAAATGCATGTAAATTGAAGCAAGTATTGTTAGTCTCAGAAATTTTTGTGGCTAATAATGAAAAAGACAGATGAATTGACTTGAGGCTATATGAATAACTAACTAAAAAAGATAAATGGAGGCATGGGTAACTGATAGGAAGCTCTCTTAGTGAGGTGGCACTTAGCTCTGTTTTGATGCCTACCTCGTTGCCCTTTCAATCTTGATATGAACACATTAAAGTTATTTCTATAAAATCTATGAACATCATAAAACTCAGAAGAATTATAAGATATACAATGATGAAAAACAATCATCTCAATCCTGCAGCTATAGAAGCAAATGGCCAATTTTTATATGAATAAGTGCAAAGTCTCAAATTTATTTTTTGAAGTCTCCAATTTTAATGGGAAAACAGCCACCCAAATGTAACAAATGGCTGCAAATATCAATCTGAATGTATAATGAAATTTTGATGGCTGAAAGCTGATTTTTCATGCTTATACCTTATGTTGGCTGCTGTGATACTAATGCAAAATTTATATTCATTTTTAACATCAGACAAAGAAAAGGTAGATTGTAAGAGGTATCATTACAGGTGCACAGAAAGTAAAATTTGAACACTTGAAGACGAACTCATGATAAAATTTTAACATGTCCAAACTGAAGGAGACAAGAATTCCATACATCTAGAAGATTTCATGAAAAATCCCATTAGCTCATTCATTGTAGTGACACACAAAAAATTTACAATAATAAATGAAATGTTGCATAAAACATGCTTCTATGTAAACATTTTCTTTTGATGCAAAGCATCACAGAATAAGACAGACTAATCCATGAAGCAAGCATCATTGCTAAACATATCCAAATCTGAGGAAAAAATACTATGTAAAGAGAGGAAGAGTTCTCTGGAAGAGAAGAGAAATTTCCAGAAGAGAAATTTCTGGAAAAAATGTGAATTAAACGGCATCTATCTCTACTGTCCATTTTAAAGTACTCACATTAATATGTTTCAATTGTGAAGCAGAAACAGTGAGTGTGTATTTTTAGCACTCCTCACACCTCTAGAAGACAATCAGGTGAATGATATTCTTCTAAAGTTATTTGTCTTCTAAATATTTCAAGAGAGACCTATAAAACGCCTTCATCTGAACTTCTAAGTCAAAATTGAGTGGTAGCGCTGTGACAGAAAGGTCACCCTCTTTTCAAGTGGAGGAGCAAATGCAGCTGTACCGGGCCCCCTCGAGTGCTGCTAAGGACCCATAAATTAGCCGGAACCAGGTCACCTGAAACTGTGGTCGCTTTCAACTTCAGCTATCTGTGCAACGCTTAGGAGCCGGGATACCACTTAGTGGGCAATAAATTCCGACCTGAATGGACTACGCTCAAGTCAAGAATCCCTGTGGCTAATATATAACTCGTAGTGTAATTTTGCCCTGGAATATATTCTCTCTGCTGTTTAAGAAGGTCATAAATACAGCAAGTATGACTCTCCCAGGTCTATTAGTGAGAGCTTAGGGACTCAAACAGGTTTAGAAATATGTTAGCAAAATTGTGGTTTATCTTTCATCGAAATTACGTTCCGATGTTACCACTAGGAATGAGGTTTATACAAAGAAAGACGTGTAACGTACCATTGCTAGTAGATGAACTTTAACTTACATTACAGGATAACTGTGATTTCAAAGATTATTTTTGAAAGAATAACCAGGAAAGTATGAAATGAAAAGAAAACTAAAATTGCTTTTGGGAGACAGAAATGAAATTGGTTTAGTGGCAAAAGCAGTTTGGCAATTTTAGCTTTTGAAAGTCTCCTTAATTGCTTAATTTATGAAACAAAGAAGAAAAAAAAAAGTGTACGACCTATACTTCAGTAATTTCTTAAAACAAGTTCCATTTATATATATCTAGAAAGGAAAATGGTGCTCCTAATTTCAAAACATGAATGAATAGTTAACATAATACAAGCACTACCCAGCACTCTTCTGTAATTTAAAGGAAATTGAGATTTTTCTAGAAATCGTATTATTTGGACTGCTTAATGTTTTGGAGGACTCATTTTTTGGAAGGAAATAATTTTTTGAGCTAAGCTAAATTATTTATTGTTCAGGTAAAATAAATAGAATCTTCACATGAGTGACAGTTTCTGTAATTTTTTTCTTCCTCTGGACTTACTGTACTTTGACAGAATGACAATTCTTCATAATTCCACAAATAATAGGAAAGAAAATGGAAATAAGATAATGTCTTTAGAAATTATTTTTAAATAAAATATAAGTTTAAAGGAAATGACATCAAAGTTGTTCACGTTTCTCACAAGTTAAATTTTCATGGTGAGTAATAGTATAGTCACAGAGGTTACTTAAGAAGAGAATACCAAATTGAAAATATAACTATGCATGTGTAATATGTAGATACATTTGTTTATATTTTCCACAATGAATAATTAAGTATGTTCAGGCATTCTTATAGGACATGTTTTGTTTTATGCAAAGTGTTATGTGGGTTGGGATTGTTATGACCTCCTCCTCGGGCATGAAGCATATGTCGTATAAAGTTGGAGGAAATGAATGTAAACAATTACAATGAAAGTTTAAAGTGTCTATTTTAAAGTTATGAATCATAGAGCAAGGAACTACATTCCAGTGTTACCATTATGAAATAACATTGCATAAAGAACAACATGCAGTACATCCCTTGCTAGTAGACCAATTTTATCTATGTTCCTGGATAAAGGTGATTTTAAAGACTATTTTTGAAAGAATACGAAGGAAAGTATGGAAATAATAATTTAAAAATCTAAATTTCATTCAAAAGGCATATGAGCTTGGTCCTCCTAGATAGCAATCTATATATTTCTAAAAATAAATTATATGAAAAAAATACAGATTGAACAAAGGAATACAGCAGGTTTTGACAAATACAGCAGTATGTAATAAAGAAATCTCCACTACCCAGATCAGTAACTCTTTCTTCGGTACTGGGGATCAAACTCTTGCACTTGCCAGGCGGGTCCTTAGGTGACAGAGATACCTCCCCAGCAAAGACCAAAACTCTTTTGGGGCACTATATCTAGAAAACAGTGAGTAAAGAAAGATGTTCTAACAGTTAAGAGGTTATTTCACGCTCCAAGTGAGAACCATGAAAGCTTATAATGTTATACTCATAGATGCACTTGCATGATGCTGTACGGTTATAAGGCTGCTAATCTTAAGCAGTTGAATGGTTAGCGAGAGGGCTCAAAATTATTGTGAAAGAAGAGAAACTAAGCTTTTGGCACTATCAGGAATACAATTGATCTCTTCAAATAGTTCTTTTTCTTATGAATTTAGGACAAGGTCTCCAGGGTTTCCAGGGTCTCACTACATAGATCAGACTCATAGTGAGCCTCCTGTTTTCAGCCTGCCAGGGGCTGGGATTATAGGCATGTG